CACATCGTTTCAGAAAACGATTAAAACTGCGTTGCTAACAAACGCCTTTTAAAAATGGGGACGGAAAAATAGTTACAATGTTTATCGACACAATGAATGCCGTAAAGCTCAGTGGGGGAGCATTAATTATTTCATGCAAAGGAAAACTAGAAACTTAGAGCGCCGTCTGTTGTCATGCTAATCTTCAATATGCCATTATGACAACAGATGACGACACTAGAACAACAAAGACGTTACTGATAAACTTGGTATTCACATGGTTGCAGGGCCTAATATGTATGAAAACAACAGTTGGAATGATGCAGTTGAAATATGTCAAGTTTATTTACAGAACATATAAAACTTAAAAGAGCTGACAGCGCTTGCCATACGACAAACTGCAGAATCAGTTCAGGAGTTGGCAAACTGCAAGATACAATGACACAGAAGGAAACTAGATCTAAGCACTTGTAAGCAGCCATTTACAGCTGGTATCAATGACGTACAGAATATGCATGACTAGAATTAGAAATTTAGCTCTTGCAAGCAGCCATTTACAATAACGCAGAAGGAAAGTAGCTCGTGCAAACTGACACGTACAATTTGCATCAATGAAGAATACAACATACATATATAGAATTATGAAAGTAGAATCTGCAAGCAGCCATTTAAAATAACGCATCCAGAAAGATTAGAAAATACACACATAGAATTATGGCGGATTACCCCCTCCATACTGGGAAGCAAACGATTTTGTACGTATGGGACAACTTCTTGCAAAAGTGGAAACTTAGATTAAGCTGCAGAATTGTTTTAAGGTATCCATTTCCATCTTTTATATAATATATTTATAACGTGATTCTAAAAGATATATAGTATATAGGATTTTCTGGGTTACAGTTTCAAGAATGTCATGGGATGGGTCTTCATGTTGACGTTAAGAAATCACATTTTCATATGCATTTCGAGTCGAAGTCTGGACTATTTTTGTACACTATATGAATATCATTTTCCTGGATTAAAATATGATCGTTCTTTCTTGATACAAAATGGATTTTTGACCAAAAATAACACGTGATCCAGTGTTTACGTAAATGACGTATCGCTGCTCAGAATTATCCGACGCGCAGAATTGGCCGAAAGTGTGTGTGTGTGTCTGTGTGTGTGTGTGTGTGTGTGTGTGTTTTCAAAACTATACATTGTAGACTTTTCAAAATTAAGCGACTTATTTTAAAGCATTGAGAAATTTAAGATTGTTTTGTTACAAGGAAAAGGTTCTGACGTGAAGAATTCACATCAAAGAATGACACATTAAGCAGAAAATTTATGTGAGAAGACATTCGTACATGATATGAAATCCCGTGTCTAATATATTGCATATAAAGGATAATTGCTTGAAAGGACTGCATAATATATAAGACGGTGATTGCTTGATTGCTCATGAAAGCAAATTCTCTTTTTCATGTTAGGCTCTAGCGGGTGAAAAACTCAGTACAAATACGTAAGTTTTTCAACAAGATATGAAGTATAGATGATATTCACTCGTAGCAAGCAAATTTTACACTTAAACATTTTGTTTAGTAAGAGGTACTGTAAAACAGATTGAAGTATAGTATTCGCATACCAGAGAAACACAAACTACTCCAATATTTACGGAATTATTGAGATTATCTAAGACATGTTGCTTGAAAACATAACGTTCTCATGCGAATATGGCGACCATGTTACTAAAGAATCTCCAGTTTTATCAGCAACGCCAAACAACCTGACAATGTTTGGAATCCCTTGGAGACTATCTAGTTAGACAGTATACACTGATGAATGAAATGACCAAGTTTTGTGCCTTGTTTATATCCTGGATGCTTTTTGTTTGTTTTTTTTTTTAATCGGTGTGTGTGTGTGTGGTTGGTGCAAATATATATAATAGATCGCACTCGTACATAATCTGAAAGGCTACTTCCATTAATAAATCCATACAGTCCTCGCTCAGTAAGTTTGAAAAATTTATAGCTGTGATAATTTACATTGATGTTCATCGTTATTAGAATCAAACAAGAATTTTATTTAATACTTTATCCTGTGATTTTCATCAGAAAGTATACAATATTCCTTTCTTGGAATGTTTGTCAGTTTGCAATCATATTGGTACACTGTGATTTTAAGTTCTAAATTAGCATAAATGATTTTGAAATTTGTTATCCAAAGAAACTAAATGATGGGGTTTAAAATTTGATTTTAATACAATCGATATGTAGTTAAACTCGAAGAATCTTATTAACTTAAGGCTTGACGGAAATAGTGAAAAAAGGTATTTTTTCTCTGATACTGCTAAAGTTACTTTTATGTCTTTAAAATATTAAAAAGTTTAACAAGTCAGTAGGTCATCAATCAGTCAGGAATAAATCCAGGTTGTAGAGTATGAGAAAATAGAGTTTGTTATGCTCCAGATGTAATTTCAGATCCACCCAGTATATTTAGAAAGCATTATTACTGAATTTTTCATGGCTGTTCGTATGTGTTGGAATAATTGCAAGTTTGTCAATATTGTTAGAAAGATTGAAATGGACAAGAAAACGTTGTCCGTTTATATTTTCTTGAAGCAATGTTTTAACCTGCAAGAACCAGTGCTTTTGCATAGTTCATAAAAACGAGGCAGAGAGTACATTTCAATATATATAAATTTTTATATCTTCTAAAATGTGTAGCTATTTGGATACAATTTTTACATAAAATACACTTGGACATTTTTCCGCTACTTCAAGTGGACGAATTTATAAAGAATATAATATAAAACTATTATATAAGCCTTATTAGTAATATCAATGAGATTACAAATCAATGGTTACCCTTGTTTTTTTTATCCTAAAATGTAAAAAAGGTAAATTATTTATTGATTTATCAATCGCAACCCGCCTTGCTGAGCTCAATGTCCTCTGTCTCCTTCGTCACAATGCGTAGTATAACCGACGTGACCGCCTCCCATGCATTCTTGGTGAATTTATCCATTTTACTTCCCAGAGTGTCCTCCAAGAATGCCAGAAAAACATCAAAAACGTCCTGAAATGGAGTAACCATGTGTGTGTGTGTGTGTGTGTGTGTGTGTGTGTGTGAATGTGTGTGTGTGTGTATATATATATATATATATATATATATATATATATATATATATATATATATATATATATATATATATATCAGACAAAACAGAATGTGCTATTCCTGGACTTGATTCTGTAGTAGAATCTTGATAATAGAGGGCAGAAATAATAGTTTAATGCAAACAATACTATCATACAGGTTAGAGAAATTAAATTCGTACTCTAGGGGGTTTCGAACCCAGGTCTGCGAGTAAATGTCACCCATCGCCTTGCCTGCACGCACCAAAATATATATGGTCACGACTAAGCAAGCTACACCATCTATACACACAAACATTCTTTTAGATTCGTCACATTTGATGCTCAGATAATGACAAGTCTATCTGGCGCAAAAATGAGTGATGATTCTATCAGAATGAATCAAGTTTAACTTAATCTGCTGCAAATTTGAAAACTAATGCCAACCGATCAGTAACGTTTATTCCACAATCTAGCAGTTCCTAACAGAGTAAATATCAGTCTGTACGGAATCCAAAACTTTAGACTCATATACCTATTGAAATGAAAAATTTACCTTCTTAAACTGAATTCAAGCCCAACTATATTCAGGCTGATAGAACGATGTTTCATATACACATATTTTCCTTTATTATATTGTTTTCAATGAATACTGATAGTTTAACTATATACATACATATATATATATATATATATATATATATATATATATATATATATATATATATATATATATATATATATATATATATATATATATATATAAAGAATACAAATCATATGGCGAATAACAGCCCTTTCAAGAGTACTGGATCCACCAAGGGATCACGTGTGTCAGGGAATAATTAAAATAGATGCAATAAACTGACGACGAACAGTACGAAACTAGTAACTAACTAGCCTAAGCGCTTTCGACTCTTAATGAGTCTTTTTCAAAGGCAAATACAAAACATATATACGACAAACAAATAAACACAAAAACGTTGTGTTTGTAAACCTCTACATGGCAGTCTCCACATGTGTTAAAACTATAAATACAACCAACTTGTATAGACTAGTTGTGGAAACTGAAAACAGTGTATAATTCCCTAAAAGTCTACAAGCCAAAGCGACATCTATTTTTACTTTTTGTACATTTATGTAACGCAGATTCTATCCCGGATATTTGATTCTATACCGGTTATTCTTATAGTAAAAATTGAAGGATAATAAGGATAATAAGAAGATTTAGAAAATGTTAAATTCTACTAGTGCATAGTTTTCATTTTCTAGTCTTCTTGGTTTAGACCACTTGGTTTCAATGTTCTAAGGCGGCGTATCCAGTATGATACAGAATGCAGACGCTTGCTGACAAAGTGTATCCATAGTCTCAGTGCGGGTTCCGCGCAGAGAGGTCCACAATTGATATAATCTTCTACATCAACAACAATATGGTGGCTAGTGCATTTAGTTAAGGAAGAACCCGAAAAGGCCCCCGATGAGAACCACGTAGCACGGGACGCTACTAGCAAGCTTTCTCTCACATTTATGTTGGTCGAGCAGAGACGCGAACTCATATAAAAAGAAGTGATTTATGTCAGTGGTCTGTAAAGATGAGCTTCGTAGATACCTCACTCACCCATAACCCTCAAAATGTGTGTGTGTGTGTGTGTGTGTGTGTGTGTGTGTGTTTATGATTTTTAACGTAGCTTTAACAATATTTCAGTCATTTCGCTACTATGTTTGCAGTGGGGCAGTTTATAGTGATGTTTAGTACTGTGGCATCATGCCGCATATATGAAGCATGATGTCATACCCAGTAACATTAACCTGACACCAGGCCGACCAGTCCTAACACTAACCTCTTAATGCTGAGCGTCAAGCGAGGCAGCTGTTAGTACCATTTTTGTAAGTCTTTGGTATGACTCTATTGGGAATCGAACCCACGACCTCCCGCATCTGAGGCAGACGCTCTAACCACTAGGTAACCGGAGCGGTTCCCCCTCAAAATGATTGAATGATCTGTATTCACTATCTTATTAGTAATGTTGTATGGATTATTGATTTAGTTTCGCAACACGCACACAGTAGTTGTCACTTAGAGCTATAGCAGGGTGGAATGTTTTCGCCATATGCAATTGAAGTATATGTCTCGGCTACCCTTGTTGGGTTATTAATAAGTTGGATAAGGTTACGAGATATAATCATCTTTTTAATTCAAACTAGCTCTCTTGAATCAACTTTGAGCTACATCAAAGACTGGGTAAGTAGAGTAAATATGATCAATTAAAGCATGTATCGATACCTTTGCTGGGTAATTAACAAGTTGGATAAGGTTATGAGAGAGAACCTGCTTTTTTTATTCCAACGAACTATTTTAAATCCACCATAATGAGATATGTAATATTAGAAATGGAGAGTAGCGGGTTAAATTTCAGTGTCGAGCATGTCACTTTGTGTAGTTCAGAAAGGTGAAGATGTGTTGCAGGGACTGATGTAAGGTTCCAGTGAAATGTAAAGTCGTGGTTTGAGGAGGGGGGTGGTGGCCCTTTTCCCCAATAAAAATCGTGCGTTAATTGTTTTTTTGTACGTACACTGAGTAACTAGGCACATTTACTTTACCCTTAAGGAAAAGTGGGGACCCTGTTGAAATTGTTCACACCACCATTACCACATCCATAACAACACTTCACCTGATCCGGCTTTACAAGTTGTAGTGTAGGAACTGATTTAAGGCTTCTCGGAAAGGTGAAGTTGTGTAGGAACTGATGTAAAGCTTTCCTGGAGTTGTATTGTAGAAACTGATGTAAGGCTTCTCTGAAAGATAGAGATGTAGTGTAGGGACTGTAGTAAGGCTTTTCTGAAAAATGGAGATGTAGTGTAGGGACTGACGTAAGGCTTCACTGAAAGATAAAGATGTAGTGTAGGGACTGACGTAAGGCTTCTCTGAAAGATTAAGATGTAGTGTAGGGACTAACGTAAGGCTTCTCTGAAAGATGAAGATTTAGTGTAAGGACTGGCGTAAGGCTTCTCTGAAAGATGGAGATGTAGTGTAGGGACTGACGTAAGGCTTATCTGAAAGGTGGAGTTGTATAAGGAATGATGAAAGGCTGCCTGGAAAGGTGAAGTTATAACGTAAAAACAGATGCAAGGCTTCCATGAAAGGTAAAGTTGTAGTGTAGGAACTGATGCAAGGCTTCTCTAAAAGGTGACGTTGTAATATAGGGACTGATACAAGGCATCCCGGAAAAATGAAGATGTAGTGTAGTGATTGATGTAAGGGTATTCTGAAAGGTGAAATTGTAGTGCAGGAACTGGTGTAAGGCTTCACTAAAATGTAAAGTTGTAGTGAAATGGAATGATACAAGGCTTTCCAATAATGCGAAGTTGTAGTGTAGGGACTGGTGTAGGGCTACTCTGAAAGATGGAGATGTAGTGTAGGGACTGACGTAAGGCTTGTCTGAAAGGTGGAGTTGTATAAGGAATGATGAAAGGCTGCCTGGAAAGGTGAAGTTATAACGTAAAAACAGATGCAAGGCTTCCATGAAAGGTAAAGTTGTAGTGTATGAACTGATGCAAGGCTTCTCTAAAAGGTGACGTTGTAATATAGTGACTGATACAAGGCATCCCGGAAAGATGAAGACGTAGTGTAGTGATTGATGTAAGGTTATTCTGAATAGTGAAGTTGTAGTGCAGGAACTGGTGTAAGGCTTCACTAAAATGTAAAGTTGTAGTGAAATGGAACGATACAAGGCTATCCAATAATGCGAAGTTGTAGTGTAGGGACTGATGTAGGGCTTCCCAGAAAGGTCAAGTTCTAGTGTTAGGATAGATGCATGGCTTCACAGATTTTAGTGTCGGGACTGATATAAAGCTTTCCTTCCCTGAAAAGTGAAGTTGAGTGTAGATACTGATGCAATACTTCCCTGAAAGTTGAATTTGTAGTGTAGGAATTGATGCAATGCTTCCATTAAAGATGAATTTGTGATGTAGGAACTGATTCAGGGCTTTCCTGAAAGTTGAATTTGTAGTGCAGGGACTGATGCAATGCTTCCCTGAAAGATGAAATTGTAGCGTAGGAACTGATTCAGGGCTTCCTTGAGAGGGGAAATTGTAGTGTAAGGACCGATGCAATGCTTCCCTGAAAGATGAAGTTGTAGTGTAAGGACCGATGCATTGCTTCCCTGAAAGATGAAATTGTAGTGTAAGGACCGATGCAATGCTTCCCTGAAAGATGAAATTGTAGTGTAAGGACCGATGCAATGCTTCCCTGAAAGTTGAATTTGTAGTATAGGAACTGATGCAATGCTTCCCTGAATGTTGAATTTGTAGTGTAGGAACTGATGCAATGCTTCCATGAAAGTTGAATTTGTAGTGTAGGAACTGATGCAATGTTCCCTGAATGTTGAATTTGTAGTGTAGGGACTGATGCAATGCTTCCCTGAAAGTTGAATTTGTAGTGTAGGAACTGATGCAATGCTTCCCTGAATGTCGAATTTGTAGTGTAGGAACTGATGCAATGTTCCCTGAATGTTGAATTTGTAGTGTAGAGACCGATACAATGATCCCTGAATGTTGAATTTGTAGTGTAGGAACTGATGCAATGCTTCCCTGAATGTCGCTTTTTTATTGTAGGGATCGATGCAATGCTTTCCTGAATGTCGAATTTGTAGTGTAGGAACTGATGCAATGCTTCCCTGAATGTCGCTTTTTTATTGTAGGGATCGATGCAATGCTTTCCTGAATGTCGAATTTGTAGTGTAGGAACTGATGCAATGTTCCCTGAATGTTGCATTTGTAGTGTAGGGACCGATGCAATGTTCCCTGAATGTTAAATTTGTAGTGTAGGAACTGATTCAATGCTTCCATGAATGTTGAATTTGCAGTGTAGGAACTGATGTAATGCTTCTCTGAAAGTTGAATTTGTAGTGTATCAGTTCCTACACTACAAATTCGACATTCAGGGAACATTGCATCAGTTCCTACACTACAAATTCAACATTCAGGGAACATTGCATCAGTTCCTACACTACAAATTCAACTTTCAGGGAAGCATTGCATCAGTCCGTATACTACAGATTCAACTTTCAGGGAAGCATTGCATCAGTCCCTACACTACAGATTCAACATTCAGGGAAGTATTACATCAGCTCCTACACTACAAATTCAACATTCATGGAAGCATTGCATCAGTTCCTACACTACAAATTCAACATTCAGGAAAGAATTGCATCAGTTCCTACACTACAAACTCAATATTCAGGGTAGCATTGCATCAGTTCCTACACTACAAATTCAACTTTCAGGGAAGCATTGCATCAGTCCGTACACTACAAATTCATCTTTCAGGGAAGCATTGCATCAGTCCGTACACTACAAATTCAACTTTCAGGGAATATTACATCAGTTCCTACACTACAAATTCAACATTCAGGGAACATTGCATATATATATATATATATATATATATATATATATATATATATATATATATATATATATATATATATATATATATATATAGATGCAATAAACTGACGACGAACAGTACGAAACTAGTAACTAACTAGCCTAAGCGCTTTCGACTCTTAACGAGTCTTTTTCAAAGGCAAATACAAAACATAGTTACGACAACAAATAAACACAAAAACGTTGCGTTTGTAAACCTCCTGAGGTTTTTGTGTTTATTTGTTTGTGTTTATTTGTTTGTCGTAACTATGTTTTGTATTTGCCTTTGAAAAAGACTCGTTAAGAGTCGAAAGCGCTTAGGCTAGTTAGTTACTAGTTTCGTACTGTTCGTCGTCAGTTTATTGCATCTATTTTAATTAATCCCTGACAAACGTGATCCCTTGGTGGATCCAGTACGCTTGAGAGGGTTGTTATTCGCCATATGATTTTTTTTTTATATATATATATATATATATATATATATATATATATATATATATATATATATATATAACCTACCTATGTTCAAAACGTTTACTGGAATACTCGGGATTGAGTTTGAACCTGCTGGTTCAAAAGAGGTCTTCTAGTTCAAAACGTTTACTGGAAAACTCGGGATTGAGTTTGAACCTGCTGATTCAAAAGAGGTCTTCTAGTTCAAAACGTTTACTGGAATACTCGGGATTGAGTTTGAACCTGCTGATTCAAAAGAGGTCTTCTAGTTCAAAACGTTTACTGGAATACTCGGGACTGAGTTTGAACCTGCTGATTCAAAAGAGGTCTTCTAGTTTAAAACGTTTACTGGAATACTCGGGATTGAGTTTGAACCTGCTGATTCAAAAGAGGTCTTCTAGTTCAAAACGTTTACTGGAATACTCGGGATTGAGTTTGAACCTGCTGATTCAAAAGAGGTCTTCTAGTTCAAAACGTTTACTGGAATACTCGGGATTGAGTTTGAATCTGCTGATTCAAAAGAGGTCTTCTAGTTCAAAACGTTTACTGGAATACTCGGGATTGAGTTTGAACCTGCTGATTCAAAAGAGGTCTTCTAGTTCAAAAGCTCTTTTCTCATTAAGGTGCAAACTTTAAACATAGTAACCCGTCTAGGTCAATTGTTTTCAATGTTTGTTTGTATTAATAAAGGCGTTACGTCCAACAATGAAATAAAACCTAACATTAATTGACCAGCAATATAGTCAAACATTTTGAATCTAAGAAGTTATAATAAGAAATAACCCGTAAAATTTCAATTTCAGGCGTAGGTACCAATTTCGACCATTACACCATTAATGGCCATAATCTGGCCATATGACTTCATATGAGTATGACATAATATATTTATTGTAATTAATGATAATCGATAGGAATACACAAATTGCCTTATTTTAATTTTCAAGTAGGTGAAAATATTTAATCAAATTCCACTAAAACAAACAATTGTTTTGTTAGTTTCTAAAACATTATCAAATGTTTACTATCTTGTACATTAACATTCAAATTTGAGCAGACTCTTTAAACATATAGTCATTGATATGAGGTTGCTTGCCA